GCGCATCGGGGGGCGCGGCGAAACCGGGGAGGACGAGTATTGCGACTCGGAGCCTATGACGGACGGGAAGCGCACTTTCTCCGTGCCCGCGTCCGACTCGGCTGCGTCGTCGCCGTCGGACGACGCAGTGGGCCCGGGGATGCTCACCGCGAGCGGCGACTTTTTCGTTTCCGGAGCACCGTCTGCGCGCGGGTGGTCGTATGCCAGCTCAGACTCCGAGTCGGGCTGCTGAGGTGCAATGGACTCGCCCTCTGCTGCAGACTCGTCGTCCAACTTGGACAGGCTGTCCTCTGCCTTTGCCTTGAATTTCTCGAAAAAGGGGAGTCGAACGGATGGCGTCGTCGGTGTCGCGGGCAGCGGGGGCAGGGGCGTTTTTGGAGGCTCCAGGGCAGGCGGGACGACGCGATCTCGATGTAAAATAGGGCTAGTTGGCGAGGACGCAATTAACGGACCAGATTCCAAGTTTGCTAGTGCCGGGGGATGTGTGCGAGAGAGCGAGGCGGGGACGCCGATAGATACGGGCGACTTTTGTGACATGGGGGAACGAGGAGAGAGCGTGGAAGTCGCTGAATTAGCTGGCGACAGCGGAGGTGTGTGTGCCGACACTATGGGGTTACGTCAATGGCATTCATAGGCAGAATCATATTACACTGACCGTAGGTTGCTGCAGAGGCAATGTCGAGAAATTTCGGGGCATTGGCCCGTCGACCATCCATTCCTTGGCCAGGAACCATGCTAGGCCAGGTGTGGGCTTCTCCATTGCCTGTGGGTCCTGCGGATCGAGCTGGAGGTGGAGCCAGCATGGAAGCCGCGGCGAACCCTCTTCTTCCGACTCCTGCCATTCCAGCCTCTCCGCCAGTCTTGGTATCTAATTCGAGCCTAGGAGAGGCGACCTGGGGCGGCGGGGGGGACCTAGCGGATGACGAGCCTGTGCCCAAGTTAGAAGGGCGGCGCTCATAGGATGGACGGGGACCTGCGCTCTGAGGAGTCTGTGGGCGCGCATAGTGCGTGTACGGCTGCATACTAGCGGTAGAAGGGGCGCGCACGCGGAGAGGCTGCACCGGGGGAAGGCTGGCTGTGGAGGCAACGCGGGGTCTGGAAGGTGCCTGGAGTGGCATCTCTCCAAAGGAATGGGAATGGGAGGCTTGCGTGGGGAGAGGAGCGGTGGACAAGCCACTTCTGCCATCGGTCGAGTAAATTAATTCGTAGTCGCCCTCGATGTGGGGTGGATTGACGTGTGTGGTGGCTCTAGGACGAACGGATGGAGCAGACAGACCAGGAGAGGTATGCGCGCCGAATGCCGGCTGAGGGGGAAATGGGACTGGGTGGGACTGTGCAGGCTGTCTGGGCGCATTTGGGGAGACAGGGAATGGGCGAGGACTTGGAGTGCCAGGGTGCGAGCCAATATGGGCCCGTGCTGCAGGGTTGTCAGAGAAAGGAGGATAGCCTCGTGCCGGAGTCGGGGAGCGCGAATCTATGGAAGGACTGCGGACTGAAGAGGGAAAGGGGACCTCTGAGGGCCGGGACGGGCCATGGTCAGCCAGCGGGGAGCGCACCCTGGACGGGTCTGAGTGCGGAGGACGACCTGCGAGGAGAGCAGGAGGCAGATTTGCCGGGGGTGGACGAGGAGAAGGGCTGGAGGAGTGTTCAGGGCGGATTTGGCTGGCAGCGCCAAGGGCAGAACGCGCAGAGGCGTTGGACGGAGCGCGGGAGCGGGAGCGGGACGGGGATGGGTGGGCAGGAGGAGAGTCGGAGACGCTGGCGTGCTGAGCGTTGGGGGTGCTCATCTGGTGCGAACTCACCGGCTGTTGGGCGTGGAGGGTTTTGGAGACGGGGAAGGCGACGTTGCTCTGGTACTTCTGGGGGTCGAGCTCGATGGCTGCGAGGGGGGACATGAGCGGCCTGCCATTGACGGTGGGCGTAGAGGGGGCAGAAGCGGGCTGGCAGACGTGGTCGCTGAGGCCGGCGATGGGAACCGGGTGGTTGCAGCTCGAGCATTTCACGGTGGGCAGGACTTGGGAGATGCGCGAGGGGTCGGGTGCGGGCGTGGCAAGGAGTTGGGCCATAAGGAGCGTGGAGAGCGCAGAGCCAGATTAGAGGATGGGTCGTAGGATAGAGGAGTCTGGGGAGAGAGAAACACAATCAAAACATGGCCGCAGACGAATTCATCAGACGCGCCTCCAACCTCGCCTAAACACTCGGCTGCCTCCCGCCCTCGTCCAACTTTCTCGCAACAAAATCTCACAGCGTGCTCGAGATAGGCTCACATCATTATCCTGCTGGATATTTCTCCCATACTGTGAAATTCTCAAGCTCAAGATTCTCCTCAGGCCATGTCCAAGACGAATCGAATGCTCACATCCACACTCTTCCCCTCTTGTCACAGATGCGCATCAAATGGAGCCGGGCGGTGGGCATCGAAGCGTCGCTCAGGGTTGCCAATGATGATTCCATCCAAGTGCCCATCACCCTCCCAGATAGATCTATGCTCTGCCCCCAACCTGCGTCATAATAGCTCGCGAGTCCATCTCCTCCAACCGGCTGCAACTCTGCTGCTCACCCCCAGAGCCACCGAGCGTTCGGTGGGTTCGCCCCACTTTCCGCGCTGATCCCACAGGGACGTCCTGGCGCCTCGCGGTTGCCACCAGCGATCTAAATTTGTCCACCACTCTGCCAATCACTGCCTGCGCAGACAATCTTCGGGCTGCTAGCGTTGGACCCGGCTACAAGTGTCTTCGTTTACCCGGCAACCGTCCTGCAAGGCCTAGCCAGCGAACGTCGAGTACGTACGCACAACGACCCACCCGAAATCAATGACGCTCAAATCGCCGATGCAGCCACACTGTGTCGTCAATTACCGTTCAATACGTCTCTTGGAACTGCTCTCTTCCGCGTTCCATGCCCGATGCGACCCAGTCCAGCCAGCTGGTCTCACCGCTGGCGACACGACGCGCGCTGTTCGCTAAACCTCCATTCGCACCCTGTGCCGTTGTACATCACTTGTCAAGTAATCCATTGATTCGATCACTTCTTTCAACGTTCAAAGTGCGGCGAGAGAGCACTTGGAACCGGAACCATTCGCGTAACCCTCCAGCACTACAGGCATCCCTGTCACTGCTGCCACCTGTGTTGTCGTAATGGCTGCAAGCGCTACCAACAAACTAGGTGCGTTGCACACCATATGCAGGCTACAGCATCGGCTGGGCAAACAGTCGCCCACTGACCTCAGCAGCCCTTGGCTCAGTAGGCACCGTCCCGAAACGTCCGCTTTCCATGCTGGACGTCAGCCGTAACCACAACTCATACCAGGGACATGGAATTTACACCTCACCGCGCGCGCGTTGGGCGCTGACTTGAGACCGTCTGTGGCGTCCTTCCATGCTCGCGCCGCAACAACATCCTCCGGATGCACTAGCTGCGTGCGCGCACATGCCTGTGTCTTGTTCTCGTCTCTTGCGTTGCTGAACACGTTGATTCCATGCCCGCGTGCTGGACAACGCAGATGCTGTCGCTAGGTCTCCCGTATTTCGTCCGGTATCCAGTCTCCCGCTGAAACAGATGTTGCATATGTGCTGGCCATGTGCTCCCATCATGCTCCCATGTACTGTTAGCTTGTATCTCTCGAAAATTGTAAAACAACGCCGAACTGGATGCTACATCAGAACGCGCGCTGAATCGCACAAATCTCGACGGATAGGGTTGTGAATCGAGACCAGTATTTGTCCTATCGGTAAGTAGAGACACAGCCGTAGATGAGAGCGGGGGGGATGAACGTGACGGAGCCTGTCCATCATGCGGTTATGAGCTACCCTCATCACTGCTCTGAGATCCGGCTGCAGGACTAGACGAGAGACGGATCGGTTGCTCCGAGCCGTACGACCGTCACCGCCTTGCAGGTTCTTGCGAACGGAACTGCTGGTGGCAGCGGCCGCTTTTTGACCGACGTCTATTTGCACTCATCGGGATTTTGTCACGAAGCGCAGGGATCGACGCATTTTCTCGCCCGGATCCTGGAAGCTGCGCGGGTATTCCGATCTGCGGTGTTCGCAGTACGTTGAGTGGGAGACGGTCGCATGTCCTATGATAGCCGCAGTGCCGTCTTCTACCTTCATTCCGTTCAATTACCGTGTGGCCCTGGGCTGTAAGGACAATGTGTATGCAACGATAGTATAAAGAGCATCGTGGATATGTTGTGAGGTAAACTTGAAGAGACATGCATGATATGCATCAGAGACAATGAGCTCAGTCTAGAAAAAATTCTAACCAGCCCAATACATGTAGCCCTTCCACTCGCTTCGTCTAGCATTGGAGTCGCGAATGAAGATGTCGAGGAATCGCGCACTCTCCAACGGATTGAAACATGAGCCCACATGTAGAAGTGTGTGAGTAGTATGCTTGAGGCACGACCCGAAAATGTACGCCCACATCGTGAACATTGTATCGTTTTGAGCCAAGAACGGGGGCGTGTTTCGCGCTAGGCGGCGACTTGAGAACCCTCACGCCGTATTCTCCACCCAAGCTCATAAGCACCAAGAGGTTGGTTCCATTATGCATTTGATCTGGGAACAGTGATTTTAAACACTTGTATCATAGCGTGAGTTCACAACAAATCACCATGGGCCACATTGACAATGAATTCCGCAAAACAAGATGGCTGTGCCCAGCTCTCAAAGTCCATCAGGATGAATGTTTCTCTCTCTCTCTTTTCTTTTTCTTTTCTGAACCGAATGGTGAGAAAAAGAAAGAAAAAAGAGAAGGAGAGAAAACAATTGTATCCTTCCCATGCTTGCACAAGAATTATCCCATATAACCTGTGAATGTGCGATGAACTCAATATCACACATCGCGACAGACGAACCACTTCAGTCACATGTCAATCAATACACAAGGTCACATCATACGCAGCATCTCAACTTCGGAGATCCACGGCCGTATGGGCGTAGTCAGATCGTGAATTGGGACGTCGGACGTAAAGGAAGCCCGCTCTGCATCGTCGAACGTCAGTGCGTGCGCCGAGAACGAGGTGCAAAACATGCCTTGGTATATGCAGCGTCGATGATACGCATGGAGTTGATTGAGTCCTCTGCCGTTCTCCAAACCTGCGGCTCGCGGCCCCGTACTTTGTCCACGAACGCCTCCAGCTCGTATCGATACCTGTCAGGCCACATCAGCTGCAGCATCCGAGTCGAAGGAAAGGTACGCACGCAGACCACCACTCCTCGCCCTTGCCTTCTGCGGGCTTGTACACCTTCTCGACGCGGGACTTCCCGTCTTTGGTGGTGATCGTGATGTAGTGGTAGAGCGACGGGAGCGCGTAGTTGAAGTACTCCACTACGCCATTCTCGCATTCGACGCGAAAGACGAGCTTCAGCCACTGCGGAAGGAGCTTGAGTGGGCCCCAGCCCTCCAGCGCAAAGTCGACGATGACTGTCGCGGGGATAGACTCCGCGAACGTCATGTGCACCTCCATCCGCCGGTCGACGTTCTCGGAGCGGCATGTCGCCTCGGCGGACAGGACGGTAGGCTCAGACGACGAAAGGTAGCGCATGATGTTCAGCGGGTACGCTGCAGCACACGAATGGGTACACAGTGAGCGTTGGTAGATGACGTCGGACGCACATCTACTCACGGCCCAAGTCCATCAAGGCCCCGCCACCCAGGCCGTAGTTGTAGCGGATGTCATCCTTCTTAAACTGAAGATCCCCCCAGAGGCCGAAGTGCGCATACATCTTGACGATCTTGCCGAGAGAGCCCTCATCTATGATTGCCTTTACGCGGTGCAGGGCTGGATGGAATCTCGGCACGAGAACGATCATAAGTGCCGGCATTCGGCATGTCCAGGATACTTTGCACATACCGAGGTTGCCAGGCTTCCAGGAGGACGAGGTTCTTTTCCTGGGCGAGAGCAAACATCCTCTGCGTCTCTTCTTCGTTGTCCGCGATCGGCTTGTCGCAGAGCACATGCTTGCCTGCTGCAAGCGCTTTCATGGTCCATTCATAGTGCAGAGCATTGGGGAGCTATAATATATCGTGAGCTCATGACAGAGAGGCTCTGAACGCTGCTTACCCCGATGTACACGACGTCGATGTCAGGGTTATCGATGAGATCTGTGGCAAGTTCCCAGTCAACCTATCGAGCTCGACTTGTTGATTTACAAGAGGTCTCACCTTGGTACGCATTCTGCCCGCCATAAAACTTTGGGATCCTCCATTTCTGCGCATACGACTGCGCCCGTCTCTCGCTTCGCGCCGCGACTGCGAGGATCAAGGTGTCTGCGTGGCACCTGACAGGCTTGATGACAGCATCTGGAGCGATGCGTGAAGCACCGACCACGCCGAACCGAAGGGGCGCAGAGGACTTTTCGACTGCCGGTGGGTTTGTCGTCTGAGGTGTGTTTCAAACATATTGGTTTCAGCATTGTGTGAACATAATTAGATTCAGATTGATGCTGGTACGAAGAGCCTGACCTTGAGAATTCGCCCGAGTGGCAGAAATTCGAACATGGCAGGGCGACAAGTCGGCTGGTCGGTGCTCGACGACGGCCGCGCGAAGCAAACAGACAAGGACGGCGCTGCTGCGTCGAGAGAGCGTCGCTAGGCCGAGGACACGATCGCGCGCACGTGGCTACATCCTCCCTGATCATGATCTCGATTCGTCTACTGGCAGACTGCAAGTCGACCCCTCCGTACCATCGACCCAAACGCAAGTATCGTATAATAATATTCACAGCTACATGTGTCTATTCCTGTGGACGCTCATGAAGGTTACCGCTGCAAAAAAAACATATGTTTCAGCATCACGGAGCAAAGCACAAAAATGTGTAGCGTTATCAGGGTATGGTCATGGTCCGAGTTATATCATACCTATAATCATTATGCTGAACAGCTCCATTCAATGGGTTGTCCAGTGCATTTATCACCGTGGGGTCTAATGGGACAATGCTGCACAGCGGCATAGTATGTGCAATCAATACTTCCATACGGACTCATGAGGAAATGGAAGGTTTCTAATTCACATCCGTAAAGGTGTTGTTGCGAAGCAGCTACTGGGTAATTATCCATTTACTTTATCGATTCTGGGTCGACCGTATCGACCAATTTTCCTTTCCTGCGCCCGTCTGGTAATTAACTCACATTCATGAATCTGAAAGGTATAATTATTATTATGATGCGCGCCATCAAAGAGCTCTGCATCTCGCGGGTGATTGGCGGGAAAAAACACCTGTGATGGGTGTGTACACCTTCACCTTCTAAGTACTAATCACCACTTCATGTTTGCAAGCGTGATATGCGCGACTATTAACTCACACAGTCAGTTCTTTGAGCATAGGGCATCTAGATTGGATACTCTGACGCGCTTTTGGTGTCTCACTGATCACCTCAACGAAACGTACAAATGTCTTATACGAGCAATTTTAGCCCGTAGCGCAGATCCCTGCGCGTGCACTGAGGTCAATATATCCGGAACCCGGGTCTCTCGCCAATCTTCTATTTCATCCACGAGGGCCACGAGGGGTTGATGAAGAGATGTATTTGCGCCAGGCTTCATCGCCCGGAATTTCCTCAACCTCTCGAAAAGTGCGTGTGGTGTACGATGCGGGCTCCGTGACCCTCGAAGCCGCCATATCCAATCGGGACGACGCAACCAGCGCGAGTCGATGCGCGGAAATAAGAAGCCCCGGCGGTATTATACGGAAGGCTCAAGGTCTGGCGGAGCTACTCACATGCCACCCTCGAGCTCACGATGTGATGCTGAGGGCTCCGGGGAGACCGTCTGCCTATCTAGGTAATTAGTCCTGGGGAGATAAGCGGAATGATGCAGTAGACTCTGATTAATGATTCTTCGCGGTACCGGACGCGCACACTGCGCATTGCGCAGAATCCTATCTCGCAAAATTATATATGCGGTTGCGCTTGGAGCCACTAGATTTGTCGACAGATACATGTGGGACAGAACTACCCCCGTAGTGCAGAGGGCCAAGATCCTGCGGCCGAATGGAGGAAACCATGGAGATCCTGAGGTGTTCCAGTGATCAATGCACATGGCCACGACTTCAGCGACGCGGCCAACTGCATATGCCCCATTGTTCGAAGCATATGTTCTGCGACATATATACACCAGCGGAGATCCAACGCTGGAGTTCCCTGCCTTCTCAGGCGCAGTATAAGGCGATGTTCGATAGCTGCCTTTGTACCCGCTATTTTCAGTATAGTAACTGAATGGTTGCCACATAGGTGTTCGACCGGACATGCGCACGAAGTACTACATGTAGCACACTTGGCAGACAGCTTCAGCTCACGATTGGCACGTCCAAATCAGTGCAGAAGCCGTGGGATGCGCTCGAGCGCGCCCTTGAGAGCGCAGATACCCCACATGCTCAGGGATGTCGACAACTTCTCAGGGCAAAGTGCCATACATTTCAGGGCTGTGCCCCACGTTAGTGGCACAAGACCACGGGGAACGTTCTTCTGTACATTTCTGAGCTTCGATTCCCACTGGATGTCACATCTTTCATACCTCCATGATTGCGAAATTTCCTTCAGCGGAGCCCGCGGACCTCCGCAAAGTCAGCGAGAACGAATCTGCGTCGTTCCCGAGCACACCGAGTGGGTCTCAAACCTGACTAAAGTCGCGGTCTGTCCGATGGGGCCTTCTTCATGTGTGAGGACATGACGCATTTTTGTGCGTCCCTGTACCGCCTCGCCATCAATTGTGGAGAGAGGCAAAAAAAGAGAAATGACTCGCCTGAAATTGGTCCGAGCTCCGAGTCGGACGGTGGTCTATGCATAGGCGTGTTGAGGCCGTCCTGGGTAAGACGAGCATCAAAAGACTAAGACATCATGGTAGAGGCTCAGTATGTTCGCGCCACGCAGGGTGGCAACGGCGAATGACAGTAGCGCGCGTTCAACGGGAATCTAGCCGCCTCTAAAATTGCTGCCATGTAAAAATCTCGCATTGCAGTGAGACAGCGAATGCCATGGTAGGCCCCTCTGTTCAATTGCAACCCTTGATTTCATCTGCACAGTGCATGTACGGAAGCATTAATATAATGATACGAGTAAAACGTCAAGCGGATCCCGGGCCTACCTGCGATCGATGTCATTCGGCGATAGACAGCTTCCGAAATCCGGAGGCGATAATTCCCTCTTCAAATGAATGAGCGCCGACGATGATGCGGATGATGCAGCGGCGAGTGCGCTCAGGCACAATATTGTCTACGCTCACAGCGAACCGCAAATCGGGACCTCTGTGATGCTCCACTGTCTCGCCACATAACTCACCAGAAAGTTTCAGCTGAGTAAAAGAGGGCGCCAGGCCCATCATGATACAGTTAGCATGGTATCAAGCGTACCTTGACGCGTTTTTCACGGTTAAACTGCACGTTGTCGACAAATGTCGGACAAGACTAGAATGTATGACCGCACCTTGACGAGCAGCGGTTTAGCTGCCGCCAACCTTACCGATCAGCGAGAACCCAAACAAGACTTCTGCGAGACCGCGGTATTGAATGACGCGAGCCAAACTGCTTCACCGCCATCAAAGAAATCGACACCGCCCATTTGTCCCTGAGGCCGGAGGTCCATGCGTTGGACACGTTGCCGCGGTGACCTCTGTTGTCAGTGACGAATGAAATTAACCAAGACAACGGTATTCACAACCCACCGCTACTGTTCGAAAATTACGACCGGCGTGCCCTCCATAGTACATGGTCTAAATAACCTCAAAAGCAATTACGATAACGTCTCACGTAACAACACAACACAAAAAGTCCATATGCGTGCGGAACGGCAGCAGGAGTATAACGATGTACAGAAGCTAGATGCTTCTAGACGAATCCCCTCCTCGATCCCGCAGGCTAGCCCGAGATATAAACAATGGCGTATGATTGACACCGCACTCCTTACCATTGTGGTTTTACATGCCACTATTAGAAGAGGCGTTGTATGGGTATTGTGGCGAGGCCTGTGACGTTGACGATTGCATGCCCATATCAACACCCTGTATATGCTGGAATTGTGATACTTGAGGCGCGAATCGAGACACGAATTCGTCCCATTGATCTGTGTGGACGAACAATAGTGAAATTAGACGATAAATAGCGCCAACTTGAACGGGCATTGCTCACAGCCGTAAATTCCAATACCATCTGGGATAAGATCCAAGAAGTTTTCGGCCGACGCAAGCTGCTCAAGCGCGTTAGGCTGCTGAGCATCGAGCGCGTTGAGCACCTGCACGTTCCCAGACGGAGGCGTGTGATTTAACATCGGGTTCATGTTCGCGTTCGACGGGAAGCCGACGCCTAGCGACATGGGATCCATCATAGAAGCGCTCTGCTGTTGACGGTGCATTGAAGGCGGCTCTTGACGTGGTCCAACTGCGGATGAGGACCATGCATGATATGGTGATGATGCAGAGGGAACAGATGACGGGCCTCGGTCATTGCGTGCTCGAACGTCGGACACTGCAATCGCAATTCCCTCACCTTGCCTTCCTTCATCGTCTCTACCGATGATCGTACCAGGAGGGACACCTGCCACCTGATCGTCCTGTGGTTTCGTTTCTGCAACGAAGACACCACCGCCAGGACGTGTAGGATCCTTCCGGAAAGAAAGGCCATTGAGTGAAGGCTTGCCTTTCACACCACCAGTGGGATTCAGAACTGGTGGCTCTGCAGAGTGTTGGGGCCCGAGAGTTGCTTCGTATAAGAGTGCAATAATCTCTGCCGTCTGTAATCCGTGTCAGATATAGAACTTCAATGAGCGTGTGAGCATTATCAACGGGCCTTTCGTCGTGCCGACATATGGTCGGGTGAAAGAGATGCTTCCCACTTCCGGATACAATCGCGCAATTTCTTGAGTTTTAACTGGGCTTCAGGATCTTTACGCCTTGCCCATGTATGGTACTATAAAATATACGTCAGTGTGACCTTAGTGGGTCGAATACAGAGGGGCATACCTGCACAAGTGCACATGACGTGGCACAATATGCTACCAGCAACCATACATCGTACAAACGCTCGTTTGCATCCAGCCAATCTATCGCTTGCCCAGTGAGTTGCACAAGCTCAGTCCACTTCTCAACCGTCAACGCGAATTTTAAATGTTGAGGGCACGCGTACGATATACGCATGAAGACGCGCCAGAACAACATGTTGACGCAGGCATATAGCATAAAAAGCAGGCCTAAACGTTAATGAGCACAATGCGAGAGACATAGGGGTACGGGGAACCAACCCGGTGTTCGAGGCGTTTCGGGACCTTGAAATTGCAAGTCTTCTGGGAGATTATTCTTCCAGGCTTCAATGTCCCGCAACAGTGTATAGAGTTGCTCATCGGTAGCAGCATGAAGACCAGCAGGCCTATTGGAACATTAGTGCGCTACAAGAGTGCGACATGTATGATGCTCACGTATATATTGTTTTGAGCACACGTCCTACGATCACACTAAGCCGAACAAGCTCATCCAAATACCGGTCGTGAGGATCGCCCGACGACGGAAGCCGTGCGTCACAATCTTGTACATCGATCATGAATGGATGGCCGTAGGTAAGACTGATCCTTTGGACGACAACCAAAAGTTAGCACGGCCAATAGACAACAAAAAAGACAACACATACCATCGGTCGCTGATCACACATATACCCCACAACCTTCGCCGAAGCTCGATGTTTTGTTTCACCGATTCTGCACGATGTAGACCCAGATCTTGCGCCTGGATATAAGGTGTCAGTCGCATACACACAAATAATGGAGCTAACAAACCATGCGAATTGCGCACCCCAGTCGGAGCCATAATGCAGATAATGCATTAGGAACAAACTGCGAATGACAGTCCCCACACATTGCCAGAATCAACAACGCCTGTACGTTGATGATTGACGCCGTGGATAATACGTCCTCTGCTTTTATCAGGCTGTTGACTGCATAGCGCAACGAGTCGTACACGGCCTGAGGGACGTCTCGACTGGCGGCAGCAACGAGACATATTGAATAGAGAAGCAACGGCGGCGGTGGACTGCTCTCAACGAATTCCTCGCGCGTCACCACCGGTAAGAGAGGAGCTACGTCAGCAAAGTACGCGTTCACAAGTCGTTCGACAACGTCGCGTTCTATCCTCATATCGATCGGCTTGGGGAGCGCCAGCTGTAATTCTCCTTGCTGAGGCTCGTGAATGCGGATAACACCGTTTCCGCCCGAACTCACGTCCCACGAGTGGTGGTAGCGCATGTCGTACGACTCATACGCGCGCGACGGAATCATAGCTTGTGAATGGAGTAGATGCGCCGCCGACGTCGGTCCTGATGCCGCCATGAGCCGCGGCGCTGACTACGGTGAACATATGCGCATACATACCGTACACTTTGACGACCTCTGCACCCTTGTTGTCTGTCTGGGGCGAGGACGTACTCCGTTCACCTTCCTTATCCTTCTCCGCAGCAGCAGCGGCAGCCTCCTCCTCCAGTTTCTTCTTCTTAAAGCGCGTCTCTGTGATGGGAAGGAAAAAAGTACACTCAAAGCCATACTGCTTACAGTGCTGGCATATCGGTGGATCAGCATCCGCGAGAACGTCGCATCTGGGAAAGGGAAGCACGCGTTAGCCCGCCCATGAAAACCGAGAAGATGATGAAAAAGGATACAACATGGACAGCCAGGAGCACGAGCCCTGGAGAGGACCGGGAGGCGCTGGGGGGACGGCACAATACGAACCTGATCTTCCGACTGCGACAGCTGTCGCAAGCACGCTGTGTCTTTGTGCGCTTCTTGGTGTCGACGACGACGGACGAGGTTGAGCTCTGTGCGGGAGGGCGGGAGAGGTCACCGGTAGAATCTGCATCCTCTTCATTAGATGTCCTGCCATACGGATCATCAACGGTTGACTTCCTTTTACGTTTACCGATGGAAGGAGCGACGGGAGTGGGAGAGGCGGCGGGGGCGCGGGCAGCATCTGGATGGCCGGTTGGGGGGGCGCCATACATGACGATGCCGGCGGAGGGGTACTGGGGATAGGAGGGATAGCCGTGGTATGTGTGGGCGACGGTGTAGGGATAGTGGGTGGCATGGGAAGACATGCCCTGGGGGATCTGGGGGCTGTGTGCGCTGACGGGGGAGGGGGCGGCAGGGGGCTGGTGGAAAGGCGAGGGCGAGGAGGGGTAGGGGTTGCCGTTGAGGGGGTAGGAGGGATTCATCACGTATGCTGGAGGAGAGGGTCCGGGGTAGGGCTGGAGGTGGGCGGTGAAGCGGGGGGAGGGGGCGGGCTGGGGGCC